ATAAATATTTATTATACACTGTTACAGTAGATCATGTAAATATCCACTACAAAATTCTACATTTCCTTTCAACGTTTAAAATAAAACGTCACTTCATGTGGTTAACAATGATGCTTGAAACGAAATATTTTCTACTGGATGCTTAATGTATCAGTGTATAACAGATATATATATATATATATATATATATATATATATATATATATATATATATATATATATATGAGGAGGGCGTGCAATGTGCGCAGTTGGGGAAAGTAAGCGCGTGTTAAAAGAAAATGCACTTGTTCAACAGATCGACTCAAAATGGCCTCAAAACAGAAATGATGATTGATAACGACGCTAGATTTGTTACTCTTGTACTGAAAACCCAGTGAGGTTGAGACAAGTAAAAATAGTCATAAAAAAAGAAAGTTGACTCGAACAGACATAGAAGGCGGGGGGGGGTGGACATGGAAGCTAATTTTGTCTCTTTCCCCCTTAATAAAAGAAAATTAAGCTTGAAATATAAGTCAGAAATTGTTTTTTTAAGCAAAGCCACCGACGCAAAGGGAGCAGCGGACATAGAGAGAACTAACGTGAGAAACAGGTGAAAAGAACGGAATGAGAATCCCAAACAGAAATACAACAATGAAAAGGTGAGGGTCTGCACACGGGCGGGGGGCGGGGGTGATGAGGGATAAGCTTTATTTATGAAAAAGAATTTTAATTGACAAATTATCAAGTTAGAAAACATAGATAGATAGATAGATAGATAGATAGATAGATAGATAGATAGATAATGATTAGACATAGATAGATAATGATTAGACATAGATAATGATTAGACATAGATAGATAGATAGATAGATAGATAGATAGATAGATAATGATTAGACATAGATAGATAATGATTAGACATAGATAGATAGATAGATAGATAGATAGATAGATAATGATTAGACATAGATAATGATTAGACATAGATAGATAGATAGATAGATAGATAGATAGATAGATAGATAGATAATGATTAGACATAGATAGATAATGATTAGACATAGATAGATAGATAGATAGATAGATAGATAGATAGATAGATAGATAGATAGATAGATAGATAGATAGATAGATAATGATTAGACATAGATAGATAATGATTAGACATAGATAGATAGATAGATAGATAGATAGATAGATAGATAATGATTAGACATAGATAGATAGATAGATAATGATTGAGACATAATGATTAGACATAGATAGATAATGATTAGACATAGATAGATAGATGATAATAGATAGATAGATAGATAATGATTAGATATAGATAGATAGATAATGATTAGATAGATAGATAGATAGATAGATAGATAGATGATTAGATAGATAGATAGATGATAGATAGATAGATAGATATAGATAGATAGATAATGATAGATAGATAGATAGATAGATAGATAGATAGATAGATAGATAGATAGATAGATAGATAGATGATAGATAATGATTAGACATAGATAGATAGATAGATAGATAGATAGATAGATAGATAGATAGATAATGATTAGACATAGATAGATAGATAGATAGATAGATAGATAGATAGATAGATGTGATTGGACATAGATAGATAGATAGATAGATAGATAGATAGATAGATAGATAGATAGATAGATAGATAGATAACGATTTTTTAATGTATTATCGCATCAGCTGCTTTTTTATATTCTTATATGACCGGTAAATAACCAATGAATATCTTAAATAGAGAATTAATTTAAATCAATTTTGAACACCCCCTTTATCCAAGCTGTAGTTATGGTGGATAGGAAGTTGTGGATAGTCGTTATCACCGACGCCCTGAAGTGTTGCTGTGCATAAAGTTTTGTTAAGTTTATGCTAGTCTAGCGCATTATCACAACGATGTAACTCTATAGGATAGAAAGTTGGGGAGAGCTATAATCTTCCACGTTCTGAAGCGGCACAGCACATAAAAGAGAATTTTCTAAGTTTATGTTAGTCTGGCGCAGCGCGAAGTTAGAATCGAACTCAGTTTGCTAGACTCACCAGCCTCTCCGCAGCAGACGCTCGGCATGCATCTGCTTGTTCAGTGTCAAAAATGAGTATTCCTACTTGCTCCCAAACATTAAAATACTCATTCTTAAAACAGACCCCGTTCTCTTAGTCAACTGGCGCAACACGATCTTTCTAACCTCATTGGTCCACGAGAACTAAGGCAGGTTGATTTTTAACTTTTTTAGACTGTCAACATTGCACTCGGCGTGAAAGCTGGAGTTTAACATGATAAGAAAGGATACGAAAAATTATATTTATAGATTTCACGTAATTTTGAACATTTAGTTTCCACAGGTATTGCTTACAAACCGACTTCAAAATTTTACTATTTCAATAATAAATCCAAAGAAGGTATTTTATATCAAATGGAAATGTGTTCAAAACAGAATTCTAATTATGAATCACCACAAGCAAAATATGCAATTTTTTATTGTAGTCAATAAGTAAAAATTGTAAAAATTGATCTCATCAATAAGATTTTATCATTAATAAAACAAAAAGGATAGATAAAAGTGTATATCTATAATATCATAAAATAAGACAACGTTTTAAATTTGTTTTTGAAAACCACACTAAAACATACCATTTATTTGGTTAAATTCTTCAGTATAAATAAATTATAAATAAATTAAAATAAAAAAAATAAATTATAAATATAAAATAAATTATAAATAAATTATAAATAAATAAATATAAACCCACACTAAAAAATACACTGTACAATATATTACATCATAATATAGCTAAATTCTTCAGTATAATAAATAAATTATAAATAAATTATAAATATATAAATTATAAATATATAAATAAATTATAAATAAATTATAAATAAATAAATTATAAGACAACGTTTTAAATGTGTTTATTGAAAACCACACTAAAACATACTGCACTGTACAATATATTACATCCTAATATAGTTAAATTCTTCAGTATAATTTCCATTTGAATTAAATGAAGGTCCTATTTGATGACACTATGGTTTACTATTTATGTGCCTGTGGCTTGTTTCTTGTCCGTATACAATTTGTGAAGCTTCGGTTGTTAATTTAATTGCACTTTCCATACCTTGCGAAGGTGCAGGTAAATTCGGCAATTCCAACATTGTTCCATTCATTAGAACCTCTTGTAGTTCATATTATTTTTTAAAAAAACAACTTCTGCTGACTGTAGAAGAATTAGAAAACAGAAGCATTACTAAGAAGCGAATGCAATAATCAGGAGGACATTAGATAGCGATTGAGATTGCATTTAAACTTTTGAATTCGGTTAGAAAACACGGAGCTGGAAGGGTCTTCCACAAGTGAGAAGTGCGAGGAAAGAAACTGTTAGCATAGAACTTACGGTTACATATAGCCAGCTCAACTGTATATCGATCAGACCTCGACGCTAGTACTATTTTCTGTGTGGCGCTTCCTCCTTACCAGTGCAATACGTAGGGAATTAGGATAATTCGACTCTGTGTACCCTGGCATGGTGTGCCCTAGCTGTGAAAGTCTGAACTGGTGGAACTAATTAATATAAGTCTATCAATTTGCCCATGCTTAGAATAATACTGCTACATATGGCCCGGTGCTCCTGCTATTTATTTAGAGATTCTTGATAAATTCCAAAGAAGAATCAGTAAGTCCTGACCTTGTATCTCGGCTTCAGTCACTTTCCCACCACTCTAGAGTAGATCCTCTATGCCTTTTCTATAAATACTTCCATGGCTAGTGTTCGGATGAACTTTCGCCGTGGTACCTAGATTTCATGAATTTAAACGCAGTACTAGACTGCAACAGGGTATTACCAATTTACAGTTAAATTGGGGAGATGCACCCCCAAGTTCTATACTAACAGTTTCTTTTCTCGCACTTTTCGCCTGTGGAACACTCTTCCAGCTCCATGATTTCCCGCCAACTTTACCTTTAAACATTTAAACGTAATGTCAATCGTTATCTACTGTCTCCCTTATTACTCTTCTAGTGTTCTCTCTCCTTCATAATGTTTTCTTTTTTTTAATTCTTTCACACCTAGTAACCCCCTGTGTCTTAGTGGCTTTACTGCCTTGCTTGGAGTAATTTTCGATTTAAAAAAAACTTCTTCTTTTTTTTTTATTAGCACCGCACCTGACAACTATATGAAAAGCTAGAATATAAAATATTGAGAAATATAGGTTTTGATTATTAAAAATGTTTATACACTCAAGAGAACACTGTTTACCTAATAGCAATTTCATGATTCCTTTTTTGCAGTCTGCTGCTTCATGACGTTGGCGATCATGGCTCTCTACAATTTCCAGTAATTTGTAACTCTTAATAAATTTTATTTTTTATTTCTCGTAAACCATATGGTTTGGTGCTCCTGCTATATTTCTAGAGATCCTTGATAAAATCCAAAGAAGAATCAGCAATATCATTGGTCTTGATCTGGCAGATCGGCTTCAGTAACTTTCCCACCGCCGTAAAATTGCTACCCTGTGTCTTTTCTATAAATACTTTCATGGTAGTTGTTTGGCGAACTCTTCGCTATAGTACCTAGACCTTCACAGCTAGGACACGCCATACAACGTACTTGGGGACGAATCATCCCCATTGCCTTCGTATTCCATTAGTAAGGAGGAAGTTCTACTCAGACAGCTTCTTCCCAAAAACTGTTACTTTGTTTGAACAGAGACTCGATAGGATGCTTCCTTGATTATGATTGCTTTTTACAGTTTATCAACCCAATACAGGTTATTTAAAGCCAAAATATATTTTTAGATTGTAAGATTTTTTTTGAGATAATAATGATTTAGTGATACAAGACTTACTAATTAACCCATAGATGGAGGGGGGAAAAGTTGGATTCATAGCTTTCCCAAGGGTATTTGCACATAAGTGAATATGACGAATCCAACTGGAATTCGAACTCGGCTCTCCAATTATCCATTATACCACCCGCACATCCAAGCTTAGAGCACCTGGTATACCCAAGTGGTCACACATCTAGGTACTGACCAGGTTCGACGTTGCTTAACTTCAGTGATCGTACGGAAACCGGTGTTCCATCATGATACGGCTGTAAGCCTAATTTTGTTAAAGGTCACTTATACTTAAATATTAACGTTACTTTTGCTTTCATAACGTCGCTAAGCATGGCTTTACGAGAGCCGTTCCTTCTACTATTTAACGTGTGTGAAGTTTCGACACGTAGCCTTCTTCAGACAACCTTATATTTAACAAAAATAATTTTCGAGGATATGAAACTAGCGTAAATGATTGTGTATCAAAGCAGAAAACAAATATAGGACATTTGCATGTTAGAAAGCCATGAAAAAAAAATAAGAAATCAGTTCATGATGTATATCTTCTAAGAAGTCAAGGTCCCGGAAAGGCATATTATATTTTACAAGTCCTAATCGGCAGCTTGGTTTTCTCAACGGTAAGAATAATTTACTTCGCTCCGTGTCTAGACAATGATGATTCGTTAAATAAACCAAGTGTATGATGATCAATGTTGTGAGACATGATGGTGCCTGTGTTCTATAATGGAACACTAACCACAAATGCGTTGTTCTATTCTTTCATGATTACGATTTGTATAGCTTCCGGAACCTAGAGTGTTTTATTGCTACGTAAAAACAAAAAATAAAATAAAATAAAGTGAAATGGCTGTAGAAACTTTTCTTACTGTGCTTCTTATCCGATTAACGAATGACACGGGAGTACGGACAATCATAGCAAGTGGCTGATATTGATACGCTCAGATCTTATCATTGTCCACTAGTGCCTATTATGACACATTCACATGCACGCAACCGGCCTCCGTCCTAACACTCAGACATTTACCCATGCAACATCTAACTCGCTTAAATGAAGGAACCTGGTTGAAATTTGCTTCAGGGAAACAAAAAAAAAATGAGTGAAACAAATAAAAAATATTGCTGCTTTTGAAAACATCGGAAGAAATGTGATTATGATACGTACTTTTTAACAATGTTCCATAAAATTTATTAATATCTCTTGCAAAACTCACTCTCTCTCTCTCTCTCTCTCTCTCTCTCTCTCTCTCTCTCTCTCTCTGTGTGTGTCTCTCCATATATATATATATATATATAATAAAAAATAATAAATTTCATTTCGAAATCAGACATGAAAAATCAATTCACTCTCTCTCTCTCTCTCTCTCTCTCTATATATATATATATATATATATATATATATATATATACAGAGAGAGAGAGAGTGAAACAAATTTATTATATATATATATATATACAGAGATATGAATTGATTTATTATATATATATATATATATATATATATATATATATATATATATATATATATTCGTTTACATTATTCATTTATTTTCTAGATATTTTTTTTTTCAATTGGATGTAGTTGTAGGTAGCGGAGAAGGGATTTTTTCCATGTCTGATTTAGAAATGAACTTTATTATTTTATTTACGTGTTTATGGTGTTCTGTAATGATTAATTTTAATTGCTTCGTCTCCAGCCTTCTCCCTCTCTCTTTCTCTCTCTCTCTCTCTCTCTCTCTATATATATATATATATATATATATATATAATATCACGCAACTCGTTCACGAATCTGAGTTTCAGGCACTACTTAATCTTCTTTTGAAATCTGCACCCGAAAATTGCATCTAGCATGAAACTCAGAGTCGCGCTAGAGGTGAGAGTTAGTATGTATATTTATTAATATATATATATATATATATATATATATATATATATATATATGTTGTGTGTGTGTGTGTGTGTGTGTGTGTGTGTGTGTGTGTGTGTGTGTGTGTACTAGCAGCATGGCCCGGCGTTGCCCGTGCTTGGTTCAAAAATCGTACGATTCATACAGCAATCGCTATCCTTGACTTAAAATTTTTGCCCTTCCTTGCTTTTTTTAAATGTGTGCCCTTTGCCGTGCTGATGTTGCTACATGCCTTACTTCTTGCCTATCTCACATTGCGAATTTTTTCTAAGCTCCATACTAAACATTAAATCTTTTACGAAAAAAGAACTAAACAAAATGAACACAAAACGATCAGCTTTAAAAAAGGACTCGTAACTGGAAAAACCGAATGAAAACAGAATGTTAACAACAAATACTTTTTCACATTCAACCCAGTTCTGCGGAATCAGAATCAACGTTGAGTTTATGCAAGCGAATGAGCCAATTGAAGTAAAGTCCTATGCAGATTTAAATTTTTCCCACTTGTGACGAATGCAGCTATCTTTTTTTTTTTTTTGCATGCTAGTTAACATTTGTGTCAGTCAGATGTTGGCTCTCACGCTGGCCAATAGAATCTTCCTGCCTATTCATTGCAGCCAGCTATAGGCTCTCACTCTGGCCAGTAGAAAATGGCCGCAAACTACATGAAAACTGCCGTAGAAGCATGAAAAATCGATTATTTCCACTATCGTTGGTAGTTAGCAAATGCAAAGTCGGTTTTGGCCTTCCCGCTAACTTGGAGCATGTGCATGTAAATTATGTAAATTTTGGTGCAAATCCATCGAAAATTGCGGCCGTGCATTCGTTACACACACACACATCCTGCCTTATATATATATATATATATATATATATATATATATATATATATATATATATATACACTCTGTTTCATCACATTGACCACTGTTTTGTTAACTATATGTGCGATATCTTATAATTTTATTACTATATATATATATATATATATATATATATATAAAAAAGAAAACTTATCTTAGCAGACGCGCGTTTCGTACTCTGAGGGAATTTATCAAAGCAAATATTAAGGCAAAATGGCGATACACGTCGACTAAGATAAGTCTTCATAAATAAAAATGTTAATGGTCAGAGTTGAATTAGGGAATGTTCGATATGGAAAGTGGGTTTCTTACACGTCAAAAAATGTAGACGTGTTCCGGTTGTATCTGTATCTTCCCAGTGGGGCGTGGGGAAAGAGCGACCCCAGCGGCTTTATTAGAAAACGTACACGTCGATGTGGCGAATAAAACTAGATTGGTTTAAAATACCTTTGTTCTTTTATCTCCGAAAACAAAAACTAACTAAAGAATTCCACAGGGAGGAGAAGAGCGAGAGAAGATACAAAATTATGAGTGAATTGATGACGTCGATCAAGAGAACTCCAAAAGAGGGGGGGGCTATACAGCAATAATTTTAAAACTTTAGTTATCTAGGAAACACCCCATTCCTCTTGACCTGAAACCTTCCCTGATGTCCAAATGTCCTGTCCATGGCATTCTCACCATTCGTCGGCAGAAGTTCATCTATGGCTCTTCTTCATTTGTCCAACATCGACTCACATATTATTAGATTATATATTACATAGCAAACCGGCAATTTTTTTTTCTTTGTTTCTAAAGGACTTACAAACAGAAGAAAAAGACAATAAAATAAAAAGCACATAGTCACATGTGCTTTCCTTAGACCGGCCAATTAGAGCATGGAAATGATCGAGATAGATAACTTATTGAAATCAATCCTCTGGTTTTTCTTGTGATTGTGTTACTAAGTCGTAACTCTTCCTCCAACTTTAGAGACGGGTGACATATAACAGCGAAGGTGACAGGCGCCTGGTACCCATTCATTTAAGTTTTACCAACGATTCCCGGAGTTGACATTAAACACGGGGATACATATATAATAATGGTTTTAGGGGCACCTCGAGGCAGTGTGATGGTTACCAAGCTTGTCTCGCTAGAAGAATTACGACTGAGTAGTCAGTTTGATTCTCACTGGGTGTCCCCTACTTTCGGCCTTGTGCCACATCTAAGCTACGCTTGGAAAATGGGCACCTCGACGTGGTGTTATGGTTAGCAAGCTTGTCTCGCTAGAACAATTACGACTGAGTAGTGAGTTTGATCCTCACTGGTGTCCCCTACTTTCGGCCTTGTGCCATATCTAAGCTACGCTTGGAAAATGGGCACCTCGACGTGGTGTAATGTTTAGCAAGCTTGTCTCGCTAGAACAATTACGACTGAGTAGTGAGTTTGATCCTCACTGGGTGTCCCCTACTTTCGGCCTTGTGCCGCATCTAAGCTACGCTTGGAAAATGGACACCTCCACGTGGCGTAATGGTTAGCAAACTTGTCTTAGAACAAAACGGAGTAGTGATTTTTGATCCTCACTGGGTGTCCCCTAGAACTAAGCTATGGAAAATGGGCACCTCGACGTGGTGTTAGTGCAAAGTTTGTCTCGCTAGAACAATTCGACTCACTGGAGTTTGATCCTCCCCCTACTTTCGGCCTTGTGCCATATCTAAGCTGCGTGGAAAATGGGCACCTCGATAATGTTTAAGCTTGTCTCGCTAGAACGCTTGGAAAATGGTGTCCCCACTTTCGGCCTTTGTGCCCATCCTACGCTTGGAAAATGGACACCTTTAATGGTTAGCAAACTTGTCTCGCTAAAACAATTACGACGGAGTAGTGAGTTTGATCCTCACTGGGTGTCCCCTACTTTCGGCCTTGTGCCACATCTAAGCTACGCTTGGAAAATGGGCACCTCCACGTGGTGTAATGGTTAGCAAACTTGTCTCGCTAAAACAATTAGAACAAGTGAGTTTCATACGACTTTCGGACTTGTGCCACATCTGCTAGTTTGATCCGTGGTGTAATGGGTGTCTCGCTAGAACAATTACGACTGAGTAGTGAGTTTGATCCTCACTGGGGACTTGTGCCACATCTAAGCTACGCTTGGAAAATGGGCACCTCCACGTGGTGTAATGGTTAGCAAACTTGTCTCGCTAGAACAATTACGACTGAGTAGTGAGTTTCATTCTCACTGGGTGCCCACTACTTTCGGCCTTGTGCCACATCTAAGCTACGCTTGGAAAATGGGCACCTCCACGTGGTGTTATGGTTGGCAAACTTGTCTCGCTAGAACAATTACGACTGAGTAGTGAGTTTCATTCTCACTGGGTGCCCACTACTTTCGGCCTTGTGCCACATCTAAGCTACGCTTGGAAAATGGGCACCTCCACGTGGTGTAATGGTTAGCAAACTTGTCTCGCTAGAACAATTACGACTGAGTAGTGTGTTTGTTTGGTGCCCTCACTGGGTGCCCATCTAAGCTACGCTTGGAAAATGGGCACCTCCACGTGGTGTAATGGTTAGCAAACTTGTCTCGCTAGAACAATTACGACTAGTAGTGAGTTTGATCCTCACTGGGTGCCCCTACTTTCGGCCTTGGAAAATACGCTTGGAAAATGGGCATCTCCACGTGGTTTAATGGTTATAAATATATATATATATATATATATATTTATAAAGACATATTTTATGTTTAACGTTGTTATATATATATTTAAGCAAATGCTCTGTTTATATATATATATAATTTTATAGAAATTTTCGTTATATTCGAACCTATACGGAATATATATGACGTGCCTTACCGCTTGAAAAAGAACCAGGTGGACTTATAACTCAATTTTCCATGAATCTCGTACATTCATAACTGCTCTGGCGTATCGAATGTAAACAAATTTCATATATTTGGACAAGGTCCGACAATTTATTTATAAAGACATATTTTATGCGTTGTTATTTTTTGTATTTTTGCTCTGTTAAAAGTATTAAATACGAAAAATTTTCGTTCTTTAGAAGCATATGAGCGTTCGAGAGCTACAAAAACCAATCGGTGGGACAAAATTTGTTGTTTAAACTCCAAAAATCGTACATTCATTGCTCTAATGTAAACAAATGACGTCATATATTAAGAAATGGACATGGTCCAATTTATTTATTAAAGACATATTTTTAAACGTTGGTATACAAGTACTGTTTATGATCAGGTTCTGAATGTGAAATTTTCATAGAAAATTTTCGGACATAGGATTCGATTCCTGTCGTCATATACGCTGACGTGCCTTAACACATATTTTATATGTAGAAATTTCGGTTCAGACACATTCATTCCCGGTAAACATTTTTAATTTTCAGACATTATTATAAACAGAGCATTTACTTAAATATTTATATCTATAAAATTAGCGTATAAACAGAAAGTCCATTTCATAATATATGATGTCATTTGTTTACGTTAATATACACTTCGAGAGAAATCATGGGAAATTTGTTTTTAACATATATATATATGTGTGTGTGTGTGTGTGTGTGTGTGTGTGTGTGTGTGTGTGTGTGTGTGCGCGCGCGCGCGCGTATAGTATGGGAACCCACGTTTAACAACACAACCGCCCTGCTGGCGATTTCACGGTTGTTTTGTAAATGATTTTACTATAGAAATATCAAAAATTATTTTACTATAGAAACGGATAGTAAGATCTAGAATTGAATTGTAAATAATCTTACTATAGAAATGGACTGCGGATTATTCTTACTAAGAAATTGCATTGTAAATATGTTTACTATAGAAATGCAATGACACAACGAATCTTAAATGGAATTGCCAATGACGAGGAAATAAGGTAATACCGACAGAATAATTCAGCTTCGTAAGCAACAAAGATTGACGAAATCTTTGTTGTTTAAGAAGCTGAATTATTCTGTCAGTGACATCATCTTTTGAACATATCAACCTGTATGCTTCATAAATACTACCTTGTGCCAGCCAAACTTGGATTACTCTATCACATCGCAATCTGGAAACAAAAATAGATAAAACCAATCAAGGCATTGAATATGTCTCGCTGAAATAAACCTTAACCTCGAAATGAGTGGGCGTTGAAAACCGTTAAGAAAATAGTTTAGAAAATATTGAACAAACGCATATCGAAACAACAGGACAGACAATGAACGCATCATTGCTTCGCAGTCTTTAACCTATTTTCTTCTTTCTCAGTCTGATGAGTTTGATTTGGCTGCTATTTTATCTGTTTTTATATAACTAATGTTGCCGTTTTCTATCCGAATTGAACAAATCTTGATAAGTAAAGCACTGGAACAAGAGGCGCCTGGTTTATCTTCTGATATTTCTATCCATAAACTGGATCAGAAAAAAATCATAACAAAAAAACAGTTCTTTTGGAACCTAATATTTATTCATACGATTGATTTTCAGATTTACAATATGGTGATTATTTCTCTTCGAAGCCGAAAAGGTGAGAGTGGCGTGAATGATTCTTCTTCAAGAAGGACGTGCCTTTGTCTGGTGTCAGGAAAGTCTATGTCCCGTAGGAAAACATGTCTCTTCCCAGATTACTTATAATAGAATCGCCGTGCATTGTTGGGGAAGATAATGGAGTTGTTTCTTGTTGCCTTCTCCACGGTTAGGAATTCACTGTTTCAAACCGGTTATCAACCAAAGTCGGTGTTATTTAACCCATACATTGGGAGTGAGGGATAAAGAGATGGAGTCATGTCTTTCCAAAGGTCGTTTGTGCGAATGCGAACGCAACAGACTAGCCCGGAATTTGAACTCGGTTCGCGCCAAATATCCTATTACAAGAATCACATTTCTTTAAACGTTACTTTATAAAAGTAATGGGGAAAATAATAGGATCACTTTTTCATAATATTTGTACATTTACATATTTTTTCTTTTAATTAATGGAAACATTTAATAAGGCTAGGGGTCTTTTTCTCGGCATTCAATTCATTTAATCAAAGTGGGGTCGAAAAGTCATTTAAAGAGAGAAAAGTTAGGAAATTAATAAAAGAGATGATTTGAACAAACACAAAGAACTTCCTCAAATAAATAAATAAATAAATAAATATACGCCCCCACATAAAATGGCGGAGTAGGTAATGGCTGCTCCAGTTACTGCTACGCAGTATCAACTTATTTAAGACGTTGCCTACTGAGAAAGACAATATATTGAAAATGCGACTGAACTTCAAAGTCATGATCTGTTCAACTGAAACTTTCAATGCACAGGGCTTGATTTGGAACGAGAAGCGGGCGTATTTAGCGATAGATTATAGAAAAATACAAAGTGGACGTGGGTTGCTTACAAGAGACAAAAATTGAACCTGGTCTGAACAGTAACATCGGCAAAAACAAACACCAGCTGATATGTTCAGAGACAGAATGCAAACATTATGGAAACGGATTTGTCAAGAGTAAATGGAGGAATACATCGATGTTGGAAAATATCAGACTGTGTGTTTGTATTACAACTCACTGTTTAAGAAAAAACCTACGAATGTTACCCTTATAATATCTCTAACAAGACCTTAAATAGTAGATGTCAAGAATCTCATTTGTCTTTTGTTCATTTTGAAAGCAAGATGGAAACTTCTTGGACATATTTTGCGAATGGATCTAGAATGCCCAGCTAACAAAGCCAGAGAATTTTACTTTGAAAAGACTGACTTCAAAATGTGCAGAGGGCATCCAAGAACGACCATAGTCACAACGCTGAACCCAGAGATTCAAAGAACAAGACAGAAAGATCCCACTTGTCCTTTGGAGGAGTTTACAATCAAAAAAGATCTGCAACGAATCCACAAACCTCACAGAGGACAGAGAAGGCTGGCAAAAGATTGTCGAAAAAAGTATACAATGTCACTGAAGATTAGAGAACACTTTTAATTCATGACCTCAAATCAAAACAGTTTTGATGATGATCATGATGATGATCATGATGATGACGCCCAACCGTTTATTAGCGACCTAAAAATATAAAAAATGTATCACAGATTTTTGGTGTGGCAATTTTTCAAAATAACGTTAGCTTTCTTAAAGCTAAAAAGTGACGGTTTCCCAAGGGCAATAACGTGAAATTGAACCCAGTGGACTAAGCGTTGAATTTGATCTTGGTGATTTCAATTTCCGCGCTGATATACGCGCCTATTAATATCAAATTTCCTTCTATAAATGACATTATAAAAATAATAGGAGCCCTCTACCATAATAATTGGAACACTGAATATTTTTTTCTTTTAATTGTTGGAACCATTTAATAAAAATACGTTTATGATACCCGACAATAATTTTGTGTTGTATTATTTTAATAACGCTATGTGCCATCAATCGAACTGTTCAAAAGTAATCCCAAACTTCGAATATACACCTGCCATGTTTATATATTTTAGAAAATTATATCAAGGTGGAAATTTAAGAACATGTAAAACAAAACCCGATTCGACAAATGATCCCAGAAATGCTGTGAAATTAGACATACAAGTAAAGAAAAACTTCGATGTGAAAATCGGTCACCATTCAGCCGATTAAAATGTAGCCCTAATGTTTCAAAGGCCTAATTAAATTATATAAACGTTTCTCAAAATTAACGGTTCTAATAAATAATTTTCCCCTGAATATTAATAAACAATAATAAAATTATTAATAAATAATTTCCATAAATACTCTACACCTGAAGAGGGCTGCATAGGCTAAAATGCTGCACGATCAATAAGCAATAACTACAAAAGCAATGGTTTCAATAATAATAATGTTTATAATTTATTTTTTTCAAGTTATTTTTATGTCAGAGTTTTCAGCAAAAATAAAAGTCCATCAAATAGAATATTATTTTTAAAAAAAGTGGTTGCAGCAATATCACAGACATGAATCTTTCTATCCGTAATAAAACGTAGTGTCAAAAGGACTGTTTTTCCCATTACACCGCTTTTTAAAACTAACTTCAATGTTCGGCAATGTTTATTGTTTTAAAAGCCGATGGTGAGAATTGGAATAAAACCTAAACTTATGTTGAAAGTGAATTTAAGAAATTTTCTTTGTTATCGAGAATTTACAAACAAAAATAATAAACACTATTTATTTAGTAGATTGTTTATTTACAATATTTATTTGTTATATTTGTTTATTAGAATTGTTAGTAAAACATCAGCTAATTACCAACTGATTCAAACTTTATACAGTGTAACCCGGATATAAGAGAAACCCGGATATAAGACAAGCCCGGATATAAGAGAGATTTTCTCTGGTCCCAAATTAGAGCCTGTGTTAATGTATATAAAATAGACCAAACCCGGATATAAGAGAAACCCGGATATAAGAGACTTCTTCTCCGGTTCCGACAACT